AGTGAATTATGAATAAACGTCATTTACAGATAAAATTCATAAGTGTCATTTTAAATTTATTTTTAATCAATGTATTTATCTAATGATATTGACAATTAATATTAATGGTAATAAAGTTGAATGTTTTTAGTGGGCTCTTCTAGATACGATAATTACATATTTAGAGATAATTGAAGTCAATAGGGTACAGTATAATAAATAAAAATACCGATTATTTTGTAAATTCAATTTCCTTTAATTTATTTTGTTATATAATTTAAAACTATCAAAGCTTTCAGAGCATAACCCACACTAATATGACGTGCGGCTTATTATCAATATATTTAAAATATTTATATACATAATAAATAGATATTTATTAATTACAAAGAATATTAATTGAATTTAACTACTGTATGAATATTGCAAAATATAGTTTAAAATAGATGTCATCAAACATTTGGGCTAAAATCTTAACACCAATATTGAAATACTTTTTCCAAAAGTGCATACGTGTGACCCTGATCCTCAAAATTGTGTTTGTGTTATATTAACGCCTGGAATGCAATCTTAATATAAATTTTAGTCTATAATTGAGAGGAAAATCCGATTAATACACAGTAAATAATCTTCAAAATAGGCTAAATATAGGTCTTTAAGACTGTCTGATAATATCAAAATGTGCTCATAATATGAAACACTTATAAAAGAAATTTGTTGACTCAAATTATTTACCGGTACTCAAAACTCTCTCTCTCTCTCTCTCTCTCTCTCTCTCTCTCTCTCTCTCTCGTCGCTATACGTGTTTTCTGAGTATTTACCACAATTATAGCTAAATTTAAGAATAAAAATCATTTTAAAAAATAATATCCAGTCCCTACCAGTAACAACAGAGGAAAGCATTTATATAAATTTCCAGGATGCATTAGAAACTAAACATAGTTCCCGTTCTCAAAGGAATCCCACAACTGCCCATTCCCGTAACAATTTTTAATTTTAATGGTTGCATATATATCATAAATATAATATACCGTATGCTTGTTGTACAATATATTAATTGATTAAAATTATAATGTTCAAATATATGAAAGTCAAAGTATTACTTAAGTCCTGGCAGATGTGTATATATTATAGAAATTAAGATTATTTAGTATATTAGAAATATTACCTAGCCATTCAATTAATTCACATTCAGTTTTTAGTATGTTGTAGGTTTTAAATTAATACATGTTTAATAAATAATAAAATATCCATTATACAATTAATACTATCCTCTATTAGATCGGGAATTTTAATGTCAAAACAGTAATTTCCGAAAACTATTTCCACACGAGTGGGGGATAAAAAAAATAGCAAAAAAAAACAATAAAAAAACTACAGTATAATAGATGCAATAGGAAAATATTATTGATAAAATAGGAGATGTGCAGTATATATTTATTGTATAATTTTCTATATGAGAATAATCTGTATAAATAGTAATCATAAAACATTGCTAACACAGTGTTACTAAAAACAGACAATTTATATGTTTAATTATTTATATTTTATATAAATGAATGATATTATAAGTGAAGTGAGGAACCAGTTTCTGGAGATAAGTGCAAAGAATGGTAACCTTTTCGAAGCGATAGATGTGGAAAGGGTTAGAAGTAATGAGTTTGCAGTCAAACGATTTGTTTTGTGGAATAATTATGATTTGAATAAATCGGTCAAACAATTGGTAGAAGCAATGAAGTGGAGGAAAGACAACGCAATCAATGGACTCACGGCTCAAGACATTCCTCGAGAGTTCTTCTTAGCCGGTGCTCTATATAAGGCCGGCAAGAGTAAGGACGGCTCAAGCGTTGTTTATTTCCGGGCAAAGACTGTCCTCAAGATTAAGAAATTGGAACCAATGATACAATTGATGACCACTTATATGATAAATACCCTGGACATGGAGCTGAACGGAAAGGGAGCTTTAGTTGTGGCCGATATGAGTGGACTAACGATGAAGAATTCAAATCTTAGTCTTTTGCAGTTTGTGATCGACTTATTCCGCAAATACTATCCAATGTCTGTGCAATCAATGATAGTATACAACAATCCCTGGTATTTACGAGTCTTCGAGCCGGTAGTGAAGGGATGGCTCTCGGATTCGGAGCAACAATTGCTTAGATTTGCGTCCGGAGACGAACTCTTTGATTATATCGACAAAAGCGATGTCCAAAAGTATTTGTACGGCCAGACTGACGACAAATTTGTTGAATTACCCGAAAAGTGCCGATCACTGGAAGAGTTGGCTAATAATTATGGCATAACTGATAAAGAAGTGAAGAAATATTTATCGCAATACAAGTCTATCATAGAAGAAGGCAAACAATTACTGAATTTTGATTCAGACACCAATCCGTCAACAAACAAGAGATTTAAAACAAATGCCATGAAATTAATTAACTTGTTATCAATCGTTCAAAAGTTATTTGGATCACAAATTCTTACATCTGGTGATTGTCTTAATGTTGGCACACATCCTGATGAGTTAACTAAAAGTGCAAATTTGCTGTAAAATTGTGCACAAAAAATATTACTATTAAAACTCTAAAATATTAAATATTGAATTCTTGAGAGTTAAAAATACAGTAACTACAGAATAATACAAAATCAAAAGCATTTTAATAAGTTTACATTAATTAAAAATATATTTTACAGTTTAATATACCGAATGTTATTTTAAAACTATTGTATTTTATTACAATTTAGAAATCTTAATGTAATATTTATATTGAATGTTATTTAAAAGTAATGAAATTTAAGATTTAAAGTCAATTACATTACAAATGATTACTACTTTTATTTCTGATCGACGATTTGGATGCCATATCAGAAGCATTAGATCCGATGGCAGAGGCGTCTGAACTGTGTTTCCTGAGCGTGCCATCAGTACTGGACTTTTGACGACTCTTTCTTGATTGATTTACTCCGGCATATAATTTATCTAACTTTCCTTCGCCAGACTTTCCACTCACTGATGCAAATTCAGAACCATAAGAGGATTCAGATTTCACTAAAATAATATGCATTCAAATTGTTATTTGTTTTCCAGTATAAGACATTTGAAAATATGTTACAATACCAGTAGTTTTATTAGAACAACGATACAAACAAACCAAACATGAAATGATGCAAACGATTGCCACTAAAGAGCCGATTATTATGGAAAATATGACCCAAAAGTAAGACCCGGTATTAGATTTACAATCAAAAAAATCTGTAATTGTTGTCCACTAAAATATGTTTATATTATTAAACTATTTAAGCAGGGATATAATAAATATTTAAAATACATTTTGAAATTCCAATGAGCTTTCAGTGATTTTATAAATATACTGAACCCTTTGATCGCCACTAATATCCCTATCCAATGTCCCTGACACTAATATTTGTTGCGATTTTTTGTCTTGAAATATGCCATAAATACGAATATTACTATGAATTTTGTCCAATTTTCTATTTGGGCCCATTTCACCCTCTGTGGTAATCCACATATACTTATCAACCGAAATAAATGTAAAGTTATGCGGCCATTGCAATGTGTCTTCTGTATAGATAAATGAATAATTAATAACTGTTTACTAAATATATTATAAAATATAAATATTGAAAGCAATGAATTGTGTGCAAAACTGACTAGTTTGTCCGTGATATACATGAATGAATTCCTTAGAAGTATTATTGAATCGGAGGACCCAATGATAGTAATGCTTTCTATCATTTGCAAACTGCCGCCACACGAGATAATCAGTGTAATTGAATTGAATTTTGTCGAAAAATGGGGTTTCGCACAGTTGTGTTTTCCAATCGATACACAAAACAACATTCATGGCAATTAAAACTGGTATCAAGTCAATTGGACCCATTTCCTAATCTTTAAAAGCTATTTCTACACTTAATATAAAAATTCAGATTTAATTTAAATGAAAGCAAACAATCTTTGCCAAAGATCTTCTGAACGTATTTGATCACTTCTGATGTTTTTGGAAATATCTAAATTGTATTATAATTTACGTGGTCTTATAATTGTTATATTTGTATTGTTATGTTTAGTATTTGTATATGAGTTGGCGATTCAATGCTTGTGAAGCTATTCATTGTTTATTAGTTTCAATTATTTCGTTAGTATATTAGTGTTGAAGTTTTGCCCGTATTCATAGTATTAATTATTTTAAGACTTTTTTGTTTCAATATTTATTAATTATCAGTGAAAAGGAGTAAAAAAATAAAATTATGATAATAGCCTAACGTTTTCGGTCTACTCTGAGACCATCATCAGGGTTAAGACGTTATAAGAGATAATTAATATGATTTTCGTTAAACTGGTGTTTGAATTATGAAGTCTCACGAACGAAATATTGTTAAATTAGTGTTGTTAGTATTAATTATTGATATTCTGGTCTCAATTCGTGGCATTCGTTTCATTTGCGCCTAAATGTGGATTCTGTTGAACTAATTCCCTTAGAATTGTATAATTTATGCCAAATTATGTAAAGTTATGTTAATAAAAATGTACAAACCTTGAAATATCTATCAGTATATTAGTGAAGATTTTCCATTCAATTAAAAGATAAAAAATAGAGAATTTGTTAAGTACTATACCTTTTCCTTGGTTTTAAACAATCTTTTATATTATTATCACTAATAAAACACTCGACGAAGAAATTCTGCCGAAGATTACTACAATATATTACATAAAATAATAAATATTGTACAAACATTAATTTATTATTTGATTCATATATAATGGATAGCTATAAAATACTCAATCATTGAATACTGTATTAGCGTAACCTTACATTTCTATGCGGAGGTGCTTTCAAACAAGTTTAGTCCTACGAATTCATAAATCATTATATTATTTGTAAAAACAATTTACACATAAATTGCAATCATTTTAAAACAGATTAAAAATGTCTTTACTTTCAATGTCTTCTCCATTAATACAATTTATAATTGTAGTGACAGTGATGTCTACAATTGCTTGTATTAATAGTTCAATTGAGTCGTTATTATCATTTTGTGGCAAATCTATTATAATATTCATTATCTCTTATTTTGTCACTATATTTATGCAAAAATACAGGACTAAAAAGATGGTTAGTTCTCTGGGAAAGGCTGTTTTAATTACTGGTAAGTCGCTTATGAATTCATTACTAATTCTATGGTTTTAATAGAGAATTAATACTTTTTAAAATTTTAAATAAAATAAAATTCTTTATTAATATTTACTTTACTGTATATTATTATTATTTATAGGAATTACTGATAAAATATTGATTTTGATTATAAAATTTTCAAAAAGTTGTGTCTAATTGATGTGATATGATATCATAGGCTGTGACACAGGTTTCGGCAATCGATTGGCATTTAAATTGAATAGAAATGGTTATAGAGTTTACGCGACAGTGCTGTCGGCCGACAGTAAAGGCGCCCAACAGTTGGTCACAAGCGCCACATTTGTCGAGAAAATGCATGTTTTGGAAATGGATGTCACAAATGATACACAAGTGCTGAACGCGTACCGACGCTTGCAAAAAGATCTAGAGTCGTGCGGCGATAAGTTATGGGCACTCGTTAATAACGCGGGTCTATTCAGCATGGGCAATTTAGAGTGGGGCACTTTAGACACATTTAACAAGGTATTCTCTGTCAATGTGTTTGGTATGGTTCGGGTGACCCGTGCTTTCCTGCCGCTCATCAAGCAATCCAGAGGTATACCAGTATTTCCAATTTAAAGGCATTTCCATTGAATCACAAATATTGTGAACAAACAGGTCGTGTGGTAAATATGGTGAGTCTGGGGGGCAGGTTTACGTTTGACTTGGGAGGCGTATACTGTATGACCAAACATACAAACATTGCATTTTCGGACGCATTGCGACGGGAAATGCATAAATTTGGAGTAACGGTGTGCACAATAGAGCCTGGCTTATTCATGACACCCATGACCACGAATGAGTATATCTCGCAATTACTGCAGCAAACGTGGAACCAATCCAGTGATGAGGTCAAGAAGTCTTATGGCAACTCATATTTGGAAAGTCAGCGCAAAATTGCTCTCAATTTCCAGAACCACTTCAAAGCCGGAGTTAATATTGATTTAGTGGTCGACGATATGGTGGACGCCATTCAGAATGCTGAGCCCCAGATTATATACCGACCCGTTGAGGGCTTACAGAGTAAATTGTCCTGTCTCATGCCTGTATATATCCCGTCCCTATGGTTGGATCACTTGACTTACGCTAACGATAAGTCAAGACCGGAAGGGGCTCTCAAATACTGATAGAGTTGAACGTTATTAAGCAATAATATAATAATTGTTGAAATTATTTCTATCAAAATATGAGTGTGAGATAAAATATTTGATTACTAGAATATAACCCAGAGTATTAATTGTCACTTTATGCTCATTGCATTATTAGAATCTTGTTTACAGTTTAATATATTTTATTGTTACTGTTATTAAATTTTTAATTATATTACAAGTGTATAATTAAAAGATAAATTAATGTCGGTAAATAAAATGCTGCTTACGGGTTTATTTTTATTTATAGCTCTAAAATGTAATCATAAATTTTGTTTGATTAGTTAACAAATTTGATTTATTAAAACACAAACTGATTATAAGAAGTGTTAATACCATTAATGGATTCATGAATACTGTAATTGAAATGAATTGATAAACAAGTGAAGTGTTTTTGTACTTATATTAGAAGTACAAATAAGTGCTAACACATGAATAGCCAGTATTAGGGGGTTTTACAAATAATTCCTTCATAATTAATACTTTCCTACAAATAAAGTTTGTATAACTGGACATATTTTTTATAAACTATGATAGTAAAAATACTGTATTTGTATTTCTCAGTGAATACACAATTTAATAAGCGGTAGCCTTGAACATATCATTTTATAATTAATTTACACATGATATCAAGGTTTTATACACAGATCCAAATATCCTTATAAATATGTGAAAATAAAGAAAATATAAAACATTTTTCCCTATTAATTCGGGATGAAATAATTAAATAATTTTTTGCAACTATTTATCAATATTTGACTTTAATTCTCAGAGTGTATCTGTTTGTCAATTACATAACTCACAACATACGGAATATTAAATTTAATACATTGCATGTTAACTAAATATTTAAATATAAGGTAAAAAGTGTTGAGAAAACTGTATAAAAATAGTGAATTATATGATTTTGTGGCAACAGATATGAGTCAAGCGTTTAGAAAGTTATCTGTCGTTAAATTGACGGCAAATTTCGCAGAAGCCGTCAAAATAGTGACACAACCGCTGGTCGCACATTTTGACGACTCTTTCTTGATTGATTTACTCCGGCATATAATTTATCTAACTTTCCTTCGCCAGACTTTCCACTCACTGATGCAAATTCAGAACCATAAGAGGATTCAGATTTCACTAAAATAATATACATTCAAATTGTTATTTGTTTTCCAGTATAAGACATTTGAAAATATGTTACAATACCAGTAGTTTTATTAGAACAACGATACAAACAAACAAAACATGAAATCATGCAAACGATTGCCACTAAAGAGCCGATTATTATGGAAAATATGACCCAAAAGTAAGACCCGGCATTAGATTTACAATCAAAAAAGTCTGTAATTGTTGTCCCCTAAAATATGTTTATATTTAATAACTATTTAAGCAGGAATATAATAAATGTTTAAAATACATTTTGAGATTCCAATGAGCTTTCAGTGATTTTATAAATATACTGAACCCTTTGATGGCCACTAATTGCAGTTCCTGACACAAATATTTGTTGCGATTCTTTGCCTTGAAATATGCCATAAATACGAATATTACTATCAATTTTGTCCAATTTTGTTTTTGGGTCCACTTCACCTTCTGTGGTAATCCACATATACTTATCAACCGAATTAAATGTAAATTTATGCGGCGATTCCAATGTATCTTTTGTATTGATAAATGAATAATTAATAACTATTTACTAAATATATTATAAAATATAAATATTGAAAGCAATGAATTGTGTGCAAAACTGACCAGTTTGTCCATCATATACATGAATGAATTCCTTAGAAGTAACATTGAATCGGAGGACCCAATGGTAGTAATGCTTCCTATCATTTGCAAACTGCCGCCACAAGAGATAATCGGTGTAATTGAATTGAATTTTGTCGAAAAATGGGTTTTCGCACAGTTGTGTTTTCCAATCGGTACACAAACCAACATTCATAGCAATTAAAACTGGTATCAAGTAAATTGGACCCATTTCCTAATCTTTAAAAGCTATTTCTACACTTTTCATATAAAAATTCAGATTTAATTTAAATGAAAGCAAAGAATCTTTGCCAAAGATCCTCTGAACGTTTTTTAACACTTCTGATGTTTTTTGGAAATATTTAAATTGTATTATAATTTACGTGGTCTTATAATTGTTATATTTGTATTGTTATGTTTAGTATTTGTATATGAATTTGCGATTCAATGCTTATGAAGCTATTCATTGTTTATTAGTTTGAATGATTTCGTTAGTATATTAGTGTTGAAGTTTTGCCCGTATTCATAGTATTCATTATTTTAAGACTTTTTTGTTTCAATATTTATTAATTATCAGTGAAAAGGAGTAAAAAAATAAAATTATGATAATAGCCTAACGTTTTCGGTCTACTCTGAGACCATCATCAGGGTTAAGATGTTATAAGAGATAATTAATATGATTTTCATTAAACTGGTGTTTGAATTATGAAGTCTCACGAACGAAATATTGTTAAATTAGTGTTGTTAGTATTCATTATTGATATTCTGGTCTAAATGTGGATTCTGTTGAACTAATTCCCTTAGAATTGTATAATTTATGCCAAATTATGTCAAGTTATGTTAATAAAAATGTACAAACCTTGAAATATCTATCAGTATATTAGTGAAGATTTTCCATCCAATTAAAAGATAAAAAATAGAGAATTTGTTAAGTACTGTACCTTTTCCTTGGTTTCAAACAATCTTTTATATTATTATCACTAATAAAACACTCGATGAAGAAATTCTGCCGAAGATTACTACTAAATATTACATAAAATAATAAATATTGTACAAACATTATTTTATTATTTGATTCATATATAATGGATAGCTATAAAATACTCAATCATTGAATACTGTATTAGCGTAACCTTACATTTCTATGCGGAGGTGCTTTCAAACAAGCTTAGTCCTACGAATTCATAAATCATTTTATTATTTGAAAAAACAATTTACACATAAATTGGAATAATTTTAAAACAGATTAAAAATGTCTTTACTTTCAATGTTTTCTCCATTAATACAATTTATAATTGTAGTGACAGTGATGTCTACAATTGCTTGTATTAATAGTTCAATTGAGTCGTTATTGTCATTTTGTGGCAAATCTATTATAATATGCATTATCTCTTATTTTGTCACTATATTTATGCAAAAATACAGGACTAAAAAGATGGTTAGTTCTCTGGGAAAGGCTGTTTTAATTACTGGTAAGTCGCTTATGAATTCATTACTAATCCTATGGTTTTAATAGAGAATTAATACTTTTTAAAATTTTAAATAAAATTAAATTCTTTATTAATATTTACTTTACTGTATATTATAATTATTTATAGGAATTACTGATAAAATATTGATTTTGATTATAAAATTTTCAAAAAGTGGTGTCTAATTGATGTGATATGATATGATAGGCTGTGACACAGGTTTCGGCAATCGATTGGCATTTAAATTGAATAGAAATGGTTACAGAGTTTACGCGACAGTGCTGTCGGCCGACAGTAAAGGCGCCCAACAGTTGGTCACAAGCGCCACATTTGTCGAGAAAATGCATGTTTTGGAAATGGATGTCACAAATGATACACAAGTGCTGAACGCGTACCGACACGTGCAAAAAGATCTGGAGTCGTGCGGCGATAAGTTATGGGCACTCGTTAATAACGCGGGTCTATTCAGCATGGGCAATTTAGAGTGGGGCACTTTAGACACATTCAACAAGGTATTCTCTGTCAATGTGTTTGGTATGGTTCGGGTGGCCCGTGCTTTCCTGCCGCTCATCAAGCAATCCAGAGGTAGACCAGTATTTCAATTTAAAGGCATTTCCATTGAATGACAAATATTGTGAACAAACAGGTCGTGTGGTAAATATGGTGAGTCTGGGGGGCAGGTTTACGTTTGACTTGGGAGGCGTATACTGTATGTCCAAACATACAAACATTGCATTTTCGGACGCATTGCGACGGGAAATGCATAAATTTGGAGTAACGGTGTGCACAATAGAGCCTGGCTTATTCGTGACACCCATGACCACGAATGAGTATATCTCGCAACTACTGCAGCAAACTTGGAACCAATCCAGTGATGAGGTCAAGAAGTCTTATGGCAACTCATATTTGGAAAGTCAGCGCAAAGTTGCTCTTAATTTCCAGAACCACTTCAAAGCCGGAGTTAATATTGATTTAGTGGTCGACGATATGGTGGACGCCATTCAGAATGCTGAGCCCCAGATCATATACCGACCCATTGAGGGCTTACAGAGCAAATTGTCCTGTCTCATGCCTGTATATATCCCGTCCCTATGGTTGGATCACTTGACTTACGCTAACGATAAGTCAAGACCGGAAGGGGCTCTCAAATACTGATAGAGTTTAACGTTATTAAGCAATAATATAATAATTGTTGAAATTATTTCTATCAAAATATGAGTGTGAGATAAAATAGTTGATTACTAGAATATAATCCAGAATATTAATTGTCACTTTATGCTCATTGCATTATTAGGATCTTGTTTACAGTTTAATATATTTTATTGTTACTGTTATTAAATTTTTAATTATATTACAAGTGTATAATTAAAAGATAAATGAATGTCGGTAAATAAAATACTGCTTACAAGTTTATTTTTATTTATAGCTCTAAAATGTAATTATTAATGTTATCATAAATATTTGTTTGATTATTTAACAATTTTGATTTATTAAAACACAAACTGATTATAAGAAGTGTTAATACCATTAATGAATTCATCAATACAGTACAGTAATTGCAATGAATTAATAAACAAGTGAAGTGTTTTTGTACTTATATTAGAAGTACAAATAAGTGCTAACACATGAATAGCCAGAATTAGGGGGTTTTCAAAATAATTCTTAAACTTTCCTACAAATAAAGTTTGTATAACTGGACATATTTTTATAAACTATGATAGTAAAAATACTGTATTTGTATTTCTCAGTGAATATTTAATATACAATTTAATAAGCGATAGCCTTGAACATATCATTTTATAATTAACTTACACATGATATCAAGGTTTTATACACAGATCCAAATATCCTTATAAATATGTGAATATAAAGAA